CGTATATGAATGATACGTTCATTTTTTGCTTTAATTTTGCAGGTTCTCTCTAATTCACCCACACGTTATCATCAAATTCACCTGTAGTTTTATTTGACTAGATGTCATAAAAGAGTTGGTTGATGTGGGTTTGATTGCTTTATATATATCATATAAGTTGTTATTAATATTCCTTTCAAGGGATTAGTTATAATTGACAATGATCTTTTTTTTTCTTAAATAGTGGGTCCTAATTTATTGGTGATTTTTAAAAATTATAATTTATCTTTAGGTATGGGTAATTATTTGCAATTTTTTTTTTTTGTATATTGTGTTTTCAGGCACAGGCAATTACTAGTATAATAATAAAATAACTTACAATTCAAATCTTAAAAGATAAACAAAATGACTTTTATTTTTTGCAGTTGAGATTTTTTTAAATTTTATTTTAAAGTTAATCCAATTGCTAATATTAGCATCTCAAATTTAATAGAAAAAAAAAAGATCATAATGGTGTGTTTGGGTTAATTTTTTAAAAATGCTTATAGAACTTATAATTTCTCATAAATATTTTTTTTAATAAAAAGTAGTATTTGAAATCGGACTACTATTACCTCTACCACCACTACCACTACTTCTATCGTCGCCACCACCACCGCTGCAGCCTTCGCCACCACCACAACCACACTGTTGCTACCGTCACCATCACCACCGTCGTCGCCACCCTCACCACCGCCATCGCCCCCCTACCACCACCGATGTCACCCCTCAACCACCACCACTACCACCGTCACCACCATCGTCATAACCACTATTACCAATATCATCGTCACCACTGTCACTATCATCGTTGTCGCAGCTGTCATTGCCACTGTTGCCTCCACCATCACCACCACCACCACCACCACCATCGCTACCACCATCGCCATCGCCGCCGCCACCACTACCACTATCGTCACTGTCGTCGTTGCCACCACCATCATCATCGTCGTCGTTGCCGTCATTGTCACCGCCACTGCCACCGCCATTATTATCACCGTCGTTGTCGCCACCACCACCGTCAACGCTGTTGTCATTGTCATCGCTGTCGCCACCATCACCACCACTGTTATTGTCACCCACTACAACTATCACTACCGCCGACGTCGTCGTCGTCGCCACCATCATCGTCGTCATCGCCGTCATTGTCACCACCACTGTCGTTGTCGCCACCACCACCGTCAACGCTGTTGTCATTGTCATTGCTGTCGCCACCACCACTACCACTGTTATTGTCACCCACTACAACTATCACCGTCTTTTACCACCACCTCTCACCCCACTATAATCGATACTTAAATTCATTTATTTTTTATTTATATTTGTAATTTAATTTTAGATATAAATACAATATATGTTTATTATTTATCATTTTTTATTATGTTGTGTCTTCAGACACAGACAATAATTAGTATATATATATATATATATATATATATATATAACGAGAATTCAAGTAATATTGAGAGATAAAAAGATAAATATCAATACATTTAAGAGACATTTTTTATTGAACAAACATATTATATGGCAAATATACGTGAGACCTTTTCGTCCAAATAAATTAATAGATTTAAATGAAATGACTCAATTGATCTTTGGTCAATAATATAAGGATTTAATTATTGCAGTCGAAACTCCATTGACTAAATACAATCTAAGTGCATAATATAACAATATAAAGTATAATTTCTTTATAAAAAAAAATGAAAATTTGTTACATCAATCTAAGAAGTTCGAGCATAACCTGTTTAAAGACATTAGGACCGGCCTACTGAGTTGCTAAAGTCTTATAAGGACGGGACCGGCCCATAGTCATATATGGGCCACTGATCGGTGTTAACCCATTTCCAACCTGGAGAAACCAAGCCAAACCCAAGTGACGTGTATTAATTCCATTGGCTGCAACAATGATTAGACACGAATTGGATTGAAATCGTCTCCATTACTCTTTTCCTCAATTTTATTTAATGGTAAATCATCCACCGTTAAAATTGATAATCAAACTAAATTATTCGGGTTCAACTCGGTTCAATTCGCATAAGACTCGATTCGAGCTTGACTCATTTTTTAAATGGGTTGAGTAATTTTATAGGTTTGTTTTAAAAAATTCAACTCGTTTATATACAAAATAATCTATCTATTTAAACTCGACACAAGTTTGACTCAGTTCAGGCTCGATTATCGATCCTATCTATCCTGCATAGGTAAAAAGACTCACTAATAAATTGTGTGTCTCATGTATATTGATGATTGAAAAATGCTACCTGGATTTAAAATATTGATTTGATTTGTTCATTTGATCAATCATAATCATTGAATAAATAATGAGTCATAATAAATATTGAAATTTATAGTTAAATTAATAACAATGATTGATTAAATTAACAAATTAAGTCTATGTAGCATTTGTTATACATTATTTATTACTCGGAGTAATTCATGTGTCTAAAAAAATAGTGTAATGTGAATAATATTATTAGACGAGTCTATCTGAAATTATCAAATAAATTTATCAGAACTCAGTCCGGAAAATTGTGCGCGAAATGGGCAACAAAAACAAAGTGGAAGTGACGTTTAGCTTTCCCATCATTTACGCAGAGCTGTGGGGTGGTAATAGGAAACGCGTATTAGGCAACATCCATCAGACAGTGATAGTAGTGATTAACCTAAACAATTATTTGAGAAAACCTTTAAGGAACCTTCACAGCGTGGTGTGTGTGAAAATCTNGTTATTCGGGTTCAACTCGGTTCAATTCGCATAAGACTCGATTCGAGCTTGACTCATTTTTTAAATGAGTTGAGTAATTTTATAGGTTTGTTTTAAAAAATTCAACTCGTTTATATACAAAATAATCTATCTATTTAAACTCGACACAAGTTTGACTCAGTTCAGGCTCGATTATCGATCCTATCTATCCTGCATAGGTAAAAAGACTCACTAATAAATTGTGTGTCTCATGTATATTGATGATTGAAAAATGCTACCTGGATTTAAAATATTGATTTGATTTGTTCATTTGATCAATCATAATCATTGAATAAATAATGAGTCATAATAAATATTGAAATTTATAGTTAAATTAATAACAATGATTGATTAAATTAACAAATTAAGTCTATGTAGCATTTGTTATACATTATTTATTACTCGGAGTAATTCATGTGTCTAAAAAAATAGTGTAATGTGAATAATATTATTAGACGAGTCTATCTGAAATTATCAAATAAATTTATCAGAACTCAGTCCGGAAAATTGTGCGCGAAATGGGCAACAAAAACAAAGTGGAAGTGACGTTTAGCTTTCCCATCATTTACGCAGAGCTGTGGGGTGGTAATAGGAAACGCGTATTAGGCAACATCCATCAGACAGTGATAGTAGTGATTAACCTAAACAATTATTTGAGAAAACCTTTAAGGAACCTTCACAGCGTGGTGTGTGTGAAAATCTTTGATCGCCTTCGACTTTTACCTTTTTTAAGATTTGGGTAGGGATTTATTATATTCGGTTTGGGTGTAGATAAAAAAATATTTAATTTAATTTAAAATTAATATATAGATTAAATTCTTTAATTTTCGACTCACCTCATAGTTAACTTGATTGAACCTGAATATACTTAAATTCTATTCAATTCATTTAAAATTGGTCTTGAATTCTAATACCCATATTTTATAACACAAGAATTGAATTGATTTATAACTCAAATTATATATAACTAGAATTGGTAATACTCAAAATTAAAGGGTTTGAATTGAATTTAAATTCAAATTGAACCGAGTTACATTACCGAGAGTTTAAAAATTTTATACATGGACAATATAAGAGTTGAAGTTGAATTTCACTCTACGTGTGTGTGTCTCTCTCTCTCTCTCCATTTACACTTTTCAACGTTTGCAGTCTGTTTTCCCATGACCATTTTCCAGCATCACGTGGAACATGTGACAGTGAGCCCTACATTATAGCTGTCCTCAATTTCTCTCAATTATATACGTACATTTAGGTGGGTTAAAGGTGTCGAATTAAACAGTTGTGTGGTGATAGATGAAAAATATATAAACGCATACACGATTCATTTAATAAACAGATAAAAATTTTTAACACGAACACGAACCATCTAATAAACGGATAACAGGAAACGACTCGTTTAACACGTTTAATTTTAATTTATTATTATGTTTATTGTGACTATCACTAAATTAAAAAAAAATTATGTGACTATCACTAAAAATAATGTAAATATATTTTCTGTGTTTGTCATTAAAAGAAAATTGTCTAATTTTTTAAAATAATTATTAATTTATTATTATATTAATTTTATTTAAACGAATAAATGGGTTAACATAATTTATCATGTTGGACAAGTTAATCCGTTTATTATTTAAATTTGTTAAACTCTCGCTCAAATTCATTTAATTTTTAATAATTTATATCAATTAATCGTATCGCATCAGATTTCAACGCACCTATCTGCCTGTACCGCATATGTGTGTTTTTTGACTCTTACCTTTACAAATAATTGTTTATATCTGTTTGGAATCCCATGTATGAATCTGTCAAATAAAACGTACTCCTCCTTTGAATAACTCAAAAGAAGAAGAAGATGGGTGTCAGTGTCATTGTCATTTTTGAATACTAATGTGATGACCATAAACGTTGGTCTTGCAAGGGTAAGAATTGTGCAGAAGGGTCGGTTCAGTTTCTTCCATTTGCTCTTATCACATCGAAGAACTCTTTTTGATATTGACAAACTATATGTTGTTTCCATTTTTGTCTCAGGAAAATAGATTGGTCTCTCTCTCTCTCTCCTAGTGCTTAGATGATCACCAAGGTGACCCTTGTTGTACTCCAATTTGTGTTCTTGATTTTATCTGTTGGATCATTGATTTCTGGTTTGTAACTCGGAGAGTAGCCTTCTTGCAAATTCTCTGTTCCAGTTAGTTATATCTTAATTATTCTTCTTGCTTCTTGAGTTTATAACATGATGGGCAGTGGAGTATGTGGATTGCTTATATGGGTATTGTCCATTTTGTGTTTGATGTGTGTTTCACAAGGATTTGATCCTGTTGATAATTACCTGATAGACTGTGGATCACCCACCGATACACCGGTTGGAAATCGGGTTTTCATGACTGATAATTCCCATTCTAATACTCTTTCAACCCCACAGAACATATTTGCCAATATAAGCTCGAAATCCATTTCATCTCCCTTGGACTTAGCTTTGTATCAAACAGCAAGAGTTCTTAATGGAAACTCCCGTTACAATTTTTCAATCAAACAACATGGAAGGCACTTGGTCCGCCTCCATTTCTTCCCATTTGTTGACAAAAACTACAATTTGAGTGAGGCTAAATTCTCCGTTTCTGCCCAAACTTTCACACTTCTTAGAGATTACCAACCACAGAGTGTCCCTGTAGTTAAAGAGTACTCCTTGAACATAACTTCTGATAATCTAGTCCTCAGTTTCATCCCTTCTGCCGATTCATTCGCCTTCCTTAATGCCTTGGAAGTTTTTTCACTTCCCCGTGATCTCGTCCCGGACGGTGCTGAAGTCATTGATCCTCCTGGGAAGTACCAAAATCTGAGGACACAAGCATTAGAGACAGTGTTGAGGGTGAATATGGGAAATCAAACAGTATTCCCTCAGAATGATACCTTGTGGAGACATTGGCTCTCAGATGATACATTTTTGAAACACAAAAATCTCGTCAAATTTGTGTCCAATTTGAGTTCTGTGAATTATACAAGAGGATGGCCTAATCAGGACATTGCTCCCTCCTCTGTCTATGGCACTGCAACCAGGTTGGACTCACAACATAATCCTGGCACCATTGCCAATGTGACCTGGTTGTTTGATTTGGATTCGGGTTTCGATTATTTAATCCGGTTTCATTTCTGCGACATTGTAAGTCGTTCACCTAAACAACTGTTTTTCAATGTTTATTTCAACTCCTGGTTTGTTGCCAGGGATCTTGATCTTAGTAATTTAACGTCAAACATCTTGGGCGCCCCATATTACCTTGATGCCATCGTAAGGTTAAGAAATAGCGGTCAGATCAACATAAGTGTTGGCCCTTCTGATGTTTATAATGCTTATCCAGATGCCATTCTTAATGGGTTGGAGGTGATGAAAATAAGCAATTCCAGGCACAGCCTCGACACTATAGACTCCTTGGCATCAAGTTCTAAGAAAAAAGTTTGGGTGATAGGGGGCTCAGCAGCCGGGGCATTGTTTATAATTTTGATTCTGGCTTTGGTTTTCTTCCTAGTATTCAGAAGCCGAAGACAGGCACATGTCGATCACTCAACACAGGATGATTTCACCATGAATGGAGGAGAAAGTTTTCAGCAGAATAAACAATCCAGGGGAACTTCCATTTTTTCCAGACCGAAAAATGGGTATCGAATCCCTTTTGTGGCAGTTCAAGAGGCTACTGATAATTTCAGTGAAAGTTTGGTCATTGGAATTGGTGGTTTTGGGAAGGTTTACAAGGGGGTTTTAAGTGATGAAGCAAAAGTGGCAGTGAAGAGAGGGGTTTCTCAATCTCAGCAGGGACTAGCAGAATTTCAGACTGAGATTGAAATGTTGTCTCAGTTTTGTCATCGCCATTTGGTGTCCTTGATAGGCTATTGCAATGAAAAGAATGAGATGATCATAATTTATGAGTACATGGAGAAGGGTACCCTGAAGAATCATCTGTATGGCTCAGAACTTCCCAAATTGAATTGGAGACAGAGGCTTGAAATTTGCATTGGATCAGCAAGGGGACTTCACTATCTTCACACAGGTCCTGCTAAGGCTATTATTCATCGCGATGTCAAGTCTGCAAATATATTACTGGATGAAAATCTCATGGCTAAAGTTGGCGATTTTGGTCTTTCAAAGGCTGGTCCCGAGATTGATCAGACACACGTTAGCACAGCAGTGAAAGGGAGTTTTGGTTACCTTGATCCAGAGTATTTGACAACGCAACAACTGACTGAGAAATCAGATGTGTACTCCTTTGGCGTAGTTATGCTTGAAGTTCTTTCCGGGAGGCCTGTTATTGATCCATCCCTTCCAAGGGAAATGGTAAATTTGGTTGATTTGGCAATGGAGTTACAGAAGAAAGGTGAGCTCGAAAAGATTGTAGACCCTCATATAATGAGTGAAATAAAACCAGAATCATTGAGGAGGTTTGGAGAGACTGCTGAGAAATGCTTGGCAGAACATGGCCATGATCGCCCTGCGATGGGAGCTGTGTTATGGAATTTGGAATATGCACTTCACCTTCAAGGAAACGTTATTAGACACAGTCCAAACAGTGAACTGTCAAAACATCAGTGGGAGACTAGTGTTTCTACGACGCAATACAGTATGGGAAGTATGGGTGATCTTGCTGATGTTTCGATGGGTAGAGTTTTCTCCCAGATGGTGAAAGCAGAAATGATGTAGATTGAGGAGGGAAACAATCCTTCAACACAATCAGAGTTCCATTTGTCATTGATAGTCAATTTTCTTTACTTCAGCTTTTTATTTTTCTTTTTGGGTGGATTTCTTATGCATCTTTGTACGAAATAAAAGTTTTGTTTGCCATCAAAACAAAGATATATTTAACAAAGGTGTCCCTGGATTTGTGTCACTGTTCAAAAGGCATTTAAGTTTGCTAGATTATATTTTACAAAGGTCTGTTAAGTATGCCTGGGGATTTTCTTGGTTAAAAAGCTCTTTGACTCACAACAAGACACTTCCATATAATTTTTGGCATTTTTGGATGGGTGAGTAATGGATATGTATTTGGTTATTATAAAGTGTTACTCATGTTTTTTCATGCTCTCTTGCCTTTCTTTTTTTTT